ATCTGTTATGACCACACTTTTTAAAGTCTAGATATATTTTTATCCTGGTCCGTCAGTCCGTCGGTCACTCTATCTTCTTCCTAAAACTTCTCATACATAATATGCAGTAGCCAGTTTATCTTTTAGAATACGTTAAATGTTGTCCAGTAGATATGCAATTATGTTTGGGAATTTTCCTCTTGATGAACAGTAAGGTTTGGAAATTTTCGTTTTCACTGTTTCGGTCAAATCGGGTTGGTTAACGACATTTTTTTTAACAAAAACCTGGTAGTTCTCAGAATTCCTCTTAAATTTGTAAATGATTGGTGGTGTCCTGTAGGTGTGCAATAAGGTTTCAGAATTCCTCTTTAATTTTTCAAAGTAGCTGAATTATAATTTTAAACCCAAGCTTTCAAAAGAAAGTTTGGGTATACGGGTTTTATACTGGTCTGTCCGACCGTCCGTTCGTCCTTCTGTCACACTATCTGCTTCTTCAAACTTCTCTTACATTTTAAGCAGTATCCAAGTTATCTTTTTGAAAATGAAATATGGTGGCCTGCAGATGTGCAAGAATAAAGGTTTGAAAATTTTCATTTTCACGTTTGAGATCATTCGGGGGTTGAAAAGCAAAGGTTACGTTTTCTAATTGGCCATTGAAAGTTTTTTTTCCTTTTTTTTCACAAAACTTTCTTTCGAAAATTCAGTTTTAAGAAGAATTTATGCTTCATTAAATTCTTAACTTTTAGACTGGTAATGAATTTATTGTATGAAACACTAATATGTAGCCCATGTTCAGATGGGCATTTTATATACATTGTAAATAACGGAATAACTATCGTAGTAACTTTTTCTTCACCAGTTACGCAGGTAAAAAGGAGACTAATTTTAGAGTTTACTGCTTTATGACAGCATCTATTTTGTAAATTGTGATTAATTATTTAAATTAATGGATACCATATGCAAGATTAAGTACTATGACAATATTGTATCGATATCTATCGATAAAATTTATTGTATCAATATCTATCGTGATCTGTAAAATTGTTTTTTTTTAATTAAAACTAGAGATAATGTGAGCAATGAGCTCACAAAATACCTTCGTTCACATCTGAGTATAATGATAAAATCCAATTTTTTGCTTTGGGAAAGCCCAAATTTCAACATAAAGTAGAAGATGCACAGTGACACTGTGTAATAAATATTCTATGAAAGTCTCATTAAATTTTATTCAGTGGTATAGAAGTTTTGGATAATAGATGGGTACCCCCGCTATTATTTGAGAGAATGCATTGTCCATGTTTTACTATGGTAAACCCAAAATGCATGTATATGTCCGATCAAAAGTAAGTTAGGAGGTGCATAATGGCATATGTAATAAGATTCTGTGAAAGTCTCATTAAATTTTATTCAGTGGTATAGGAGGATTTGCGGATAAGAAATGGGTACCTCAAGGCGTAATGGACGGACGTACAGACACCCCCATCACTATTCACAAAATACAAATATTGAATTTTTTGCAAATCTATGTATATGCCTTTTTTAAATTCTTTATTTTCAGGTCACATACATTGGAGCCACGTTTTCACTCACAAGCCCAAGTAGCAAAACTCAGGTAAAGGAACTTGAAGCTTGAACAACTGAATCTTAATTGTTGTTACTACATGTAATATATTCAATTACAATTTAAAGAATGTGGGTCTACAATGCGAGGACAATTCCCCGCTCTGAGACAAAATATTTCTCAATTAATTTTCAAAGTTCATAGAACAGTCACATTTTTTAAAAACTATGTTTTCAGTAATGTCATCCTCAACACATTTAATTCATTTATTTTATGGACTGACTTATCGGCTGATAATTTGTTTGTTTGTTTTTTTAAGTTGATGGTTAAGGATATCTAGTGGAAAATGGGTTCATTAGATGCATAAAAAAATGAATATAATTTTTGAATATGAATGGGTCAAGTCTCCACGTACTTTAACGTTTAAATGAAGGGAAAATGAATGTAAAATCTAATTTATGTTTCCAAACACTGGAGTCTGAACCCATTCTATATAAAAATCGAACATTTATGGGGAAAAAATGCTTCAACAAATTCGTTTACTTAAAGTGAAATGACACACTTTAATGAAAAGAAGACTTAGTAGCGTAGTGATTAAAGCGTTTAGTCTTACGCCTTTAGAACCAGGAGGTTTGTTTGAATCACATCTGAAGCATTTTTTTTCTTTTCACATACATTGAAAACATAACTGAAAAAGATTTTTTTATCCATAAGTTATTCAATCAAATAAAGAAATCAAATATGTAAAAAATGATATTGACAATAAAATTTTTCAAAAATATAACTTTTCATGACTTTTCAGAATTGAGACATTGTCTTTTCTCAGAGCGGAGTATTGTCCTCGCCTTGTACGCATCCATTCTTTGATGAGTTTAAGCAATACTTTATCTCCTTAAACTTGACAAATTAGCAGATTTAAAAAAAGTTATAATTCATACTGTCAAAGGTAAAACATGTACCGTTTTTACAACGATAACAATGTCTCAATATTTGAGCTGGAACATTTCAAAATCAATGAATGATTAAACACCATACGCCTCTTTCAAGTCTGAGTGATGAAGAAGATTCCAGTCCAAGATCACCTGTTATTAGAAGATACGCGAGAGAAGTAACTTTTACACCGAGGTAAAAATATGAGGGAGAATTTTTTTTTTAAAAGAAGTTTGTTTCTTTTTCGATAAAAGAAAAAAGAGCAAAACTGCACGGTGAACAAATAAATAAAAGTACCTAAGTTTGTTTGAACACATATAATAAAGGCAAAAATAGGGACAATTTTAAGCGTTATGGATGTATACTAGTACCTGAGAGTATTACATAAAAGTATGACCACTTTTGAGGGGCACTGAATTATAATACTAAATTTGCTTCTCATCAGGTCCGGAACTTTCTCGGGCACCTTGGAACCGGTAAAAGAAGCACAAGCACCCGTGAATCAAGGATACTACACCACAAGGTATTATCCAAATGTAGAGAGTAGTCATGACAGTACATCAAATTGTTAAATACATGTACAATGAAACCTAAGTTATAGGTTGTTTTTGTAGGAAATGATGATTATGTGGGATTAAACAAATGAGGCGGGGTTAAAGATAGAATATTGAATTGTTAAATCTTGCTGAAATACTTTGTTTCCAATCAACTGTTGTCTTCTCAAAGTGGTAAAATTTAATTTACCATATTTTTAGTTTAGAAATCCCAGCGTACCGTACTGGATTGCTAAGGTGTCGGATTGAGACTTTATATATATCAACGATTAGTAATGGCTTTAGTATTATCACTCTATGAGAAATAAGATGAATTTTGTTAAGTACCCATAGTATGAGTACATCCCACTATATTAAAGACTCCAAAATGTTCGTGCCAATATTCTACCGTTATATGGAGTGTGTGTGCGTGTGTGTGTGTGTGAAAACGTGTACATCCTGTCAGCTCGATTGTTTTCCAAGCTACCAAACCTGTCCTAATATTCACTTACATGATCCTTAAAAGGTATTTTAAATTCAAGAAAAAAAATTCACCTGGTACTACCTTGACCTGTATACAATACATTTATATGTTGCTTAATCTATACAGCTACACCATACATGTATTTTTCAGTCACTGAATTCCACTATTGGTGACAATATATATAGTCTGTATTACTTCTGGGTCGCATACAAACCAGCACAGATTTTAAAGACCAGCTACATGAATTGCCATTTTTCACTCCCCATTTACATATTTGTTTCTCTTGTCCCACAGGCCTTTGGATCGTTTTAATTCGACTTGTACCTTCCCCACGCACCCAACCCAGGCCTGTGCCTTATCCTAAATCACAACACTACATTTAAGAATGGTCCAGAGGCCCTAGGATCGTTTTAATTCGACTGACAAAACTTTTTTTGTCAGTCGAATTAAGGCCATCCAAAGGCCTGTGGAATGATTAGCAGGTTCTCAAATAAGAAAGGGCCACAATTGTTTCTTCATTTCTGTAAGAAAGAATGTCCAAATAGCTAAGATAGTTACTGTAGATCACTAAATTTTCGCGACACTTTATTTTCGCGAGATAGTCATTTACTCTTTATTAGCATGACAATTTTTTCACGAATTGTGGTTATTGGTCTATATAATCTTTAGAAATACTTATATACGCAAGAATGAAATTTTCACGAGTATACAATCTCGCACAGTTATGCGAAAATAAAGTTCTCGCGAATTAAAAGTGATTTACGGTATGCACTTTATTGAAGAATTCAAATCTTTGTCCAGCTTCTCTGATCAGTATGACTTTATTATTTTTCAAAGTATGCATTAAATCACTGCATGAGATAAGGACATAAAAATTTTATCCGAAATAGATTTAATTACTAGTAGGAATTTTATTTTATGATAAAATAATTCCTACTAGTAATTAAATCTATTTCGGATTGTGAGTAAAGTGAACATACTTGTAATTTACAGCATAATACCCGCGACACCTCGAAAAAACATGGCTGGTGTTGTCTTCAATCAGTCTTGGGAGAGAGAGACGGGAGGGAAGGATGCTGATATTTCTATAGAAGAAGTGTATGGTTTTTCTCTCTTTTTCTTTTTTACAAGGTTATATATAGGGAAAACGTGGGAACTCCCTGCTCGTGGTTCACATTACATTAGTACATTTTAAAGTTTGTCCATTTTCTTCTCTAAGCCTGTAAACCTTACTTACTAGTATGGTGCATCTTAATAAATTTATAGATGTAATGTGAGGATAGGTTGTTCGTTTGTTTTATTTAAAAAAACAAATTGCAAAAGCAAACGTCCTCCCCTATATAACGGATAAAATGTATTCTAACTACTTATACTGAACGAGAAAGCTTTTTCACAAACTACCCTTGTTAAATTAACTTGAAAATTCAGAGTCCACTTCATATATGCCTTGTTGAGACAGAGTAACAACAGTAGACAAAAAACTTAATTTTGAGGGTTTTATTTTAAGGCTTTCATTATCTGATGACGACAAAGACAGTGTTGATGAATGTGTGTGAGTATTAAATGTCCACTTCTTTAAATTTTAATCCTTTTAAAGTTATCAAACATGACTGTCTCAGATTGCATTCTGTTCGCTATTTTCAGGGTAACAGAGAAGCCTGCTGTAAAATTGATTGAAACGGACCTTGGACATGGAATTATAGTGACGCATCCGGATATGTATGATTTCAAAGACAATGTTCGCTGCAGGCCTTGGTCGCTAGATCGGAGGATTGTAGAAGGAACAGATATAATGCTTGGTTTCCAGGAAGTGACGTGTTGTGATGTATATGAAGTTTTCAGTAAAAGCGGAAGAAGTGTACTGAAGTTTGACGATAAAGATGAAAAACACGTCACCTTTTCTGTCAGAATAAAATATCTCTTCCGAAACGAAGATGTTTCATACGTAGCAAAAGTCAAACAAGGCCCCAAATGGGAATCAGTGGCTGCAAATCTTGAGGTGGTTTTTAGCTCATCTGAGCAGAAGGCTCAAGTGAGCTTTTCTGATCAAAGAGTGTCCGGAGTCCGTATGTCGTCCGTCGTCTGTAAACTTTTCACATTTTCAATTTCTTCTCCAGAACCACTGGGCAAATTTCAACCAAACTTGCCACAAAGCATCCTTGGGTAAATGGAATTTAAGTTTGATCGCAAAAAGTGCCACGCCATCTTTCAAGGGGAGATAATTAAGAATTCGTGAAAATTTGGAGGCATCTTTTAAAAATCTTCTTCTCAAGAAACACTGAGCAAGAAAAGATGAAACTTAGGTGAAAGCTTCATTGCATACTCTAGATTCATATTTGTTCATATCATAATCCCCGGGGGAAGGGCGGGGCCACAAGAGGGGGTCGAAATTTTACATAGGAATATATAGGAAATGTCTTTAAAAACCTTTTTCTCGAGAACAGCAAATGCATTAGTCATATTATTATAGAAGTATCCTGAAGTAGTGTAGATTCAAGTTTGTTCCAAGCATGACCCCTGGGAGGGCCACAACAGGGGGTCAAAGTTTATCATAGGAATAATTAGGAGATATCTTTAAAAATCTTCTCAAGAACAGCTAAGCCATTATTAGTCATATTAATGTGGAAGTATCCTCAGGTAGTGTAGATTTAAGTTTGTTCAAATCATGACCCCCTGGGAGTTGGGCATAGACACAACAGGGGGCCAAAGTTTTACATAGGAATATGATGTAAAGGTAAAGGGGCATTTGCGTAAAACACATTGAAGACTTCAAATAGTGAAATGACCTGACAATCCTTGGAATGGACTAGCCAAAAGGTATATAAGGCAAAGCTTTGATAAATCAGGCATTCAAAAGCAAGATGAAGAAGTTGACCGTTGAATCAGCAATAAAGAAGTTAAGGGTACATGTAAGAGCAAAATAAAAGCATAAAAGTTATAAGCACCAGTGGCAAGTATCCTAGGGAATTGATGTTAAGTTCTGGGTGTAGTAAATCTGAAGAAGATAGTTCTTATCTATAAATAGGAACCAAGGGGAGAAACATGGTGCAAGTAGTACCTTACCCAGTCCCCGTCTCTAGTTAGAGAAAAAATTTAATACTGTGTGATTTATCCTCAGACAGAGCTGTCTTAATAATCATTCCAATTATTAACTCCGACAGAGTAAAAGGAAAATCTATATATCCCTTGTAAGAACCTGATTATACACGTTAGGAAATCTTAAAAAATCTTCTTCTCAAGAACAACTAAGCCATTATTAGTTATATTTATCCAGAAGCAATCTTAGGTATTGTAGAATCAAGTTTGTTCAAATTATGACCCCCAGGAGTTGGGGGCACAACACAGGGTCAGAGTTTTACTTAAGAATATATAGGAATCATCTTGAAAAAATCTTCTGCCCAAGAACAGCAAAGCCATGATCAGTCATATTATTAAAGAAGCATCCTCATGTAGTGTAGATTTAAACTTGTTCAAATTAAGGTTGGGTAGGATGGGGCCACAGTGAGCGATCAGAGTTTTACATAGGAATATATAGGGAAAAAATCTTAAAAATTCTTCTGCTCAAGAACAGCAAAGCCAGGATTAGTAATATTGATAAGGAAGCATCCTGAGGTAGTGTGAAGAACTACGCACGCTAACTCTTGATTCCCGCCTACATTTGACACCCATTTAATTCAATATTAATGGCATTTTGGCCATTAAATCTTAATTAAAGAAGAATCCATTATATTAACTTTTTTATACTGAACTGATTTCTGCTTTTTCCTAGTCAATGTGCTCAGGTGAGCGATGTGGCCCATGGGCCTCTTGTTTAAACATGAGGCCCATGTCATTTATATGAATTTTTCTAGATCTGAAATATTACTTTTTCCCAACTTTAAAAAACTGTTTTAGGATGAGAATGTGACTTTCCATACTACAGAACTGGAGAGTTTATATGTGATCTGCTTTCCTACCCAAACCAGATACATAATCGAACCCAAGGGACGAGAGATAAAACCCGAGAACTTGGACGGAGACAGACTTCAGTTCCCCCCAAATTTTGTTGACAAACCGAAAACCACATCCATTCAAGTAACTATAGACATTCTGTGGACATAGAATCTTGTCCAATATATTTTGAAACACACAGTAGTATCAATGATGATTTCGTTTATTATGCTTACTTATATTTTATTTATTTAACTGTGTTTTCAGTTTTCCTCTGTGGATAAAATAGGCATGGACAAGCGCCATAAACTTTTCCCCGACCTTTTCAAGCTGAAGGCTGTATCTCGTAGAGTATATGTTGAACATGACATTTCCAGTTCGAAATCCATGCTTGCTGAATTATCTCTTAAGGTTTTGGGTGAAAATCACAACCTCAAGGATCTGGAGATTGTTGGATTCCGGTGGAAAGATGGCGATGTTTCCTTGATGTCTAAAGAAGAGTGCAAGGCGAAGAAAGTCGGGAAAAATACCATTACTTTACAGACGGACGGTCTTGTAAATAAATCTGGGTATGTTCAAAAATGACAATCATTCACAATCTTTACATTCAAAAGTATTTTGTCAATGATAACACAAAAATCTCTCGTCAGATATACCGGTATGTAGTTAGCAAGTAAGTGGCTTTATTGAGTATCATGTTCGACCAATAAGGAGGCATAAGGTGATTTCTAGGATTTTAGGTCTTCTGTTGTCTTGCAGTAGGTCGGTTGTTGGCATGATAATTGTCAAAACGTAGATTTGGCTTGAATGGAAAATACTAGTACATAAAAAAGGAAAATAGGCAGACAAATAATTTAATATTTTAACAAATAATATGTGAAAAGAAGAAATTCACGCCTGTTTTATTCATTTATTTGTTTATTTATTTATCTATTTATATATTCTTTTTTTTCCGAATACTAGTATATGGGTATAATAGGTTGATTAGAGCACAGAGTATTTCTTGCATAAACGACTTCGACGTTTTTACAAATTCTTAAATCGACCTTTCGTCCAAAAGACCTCTAACATTCATATACTGAATAGTGTACGGATTTTTCCGTTTACCCGATCTTGACAAAGGGCACGGCGGGTGTGACCGGTTGACGGGACGCTCACTCCTCCGTGGCACTTGATCCCACCTCTGTTGTCAGAGGTCTGTGTTTATCTGCTCACAATTTGTATTGTTTACTTGGCCTTTTGGGCATGATTACTGTGCGCTATCTCCACAATTCATTTATTTCTAAATTGAAATATATTGTATGACTACTTATAATCTTAATGGATGTCATTTGAATGACATGAATAATTTTATCAGTTAAAGATCATTTCTTGATGCTGAGATTCTTTTTCCCTATTTCAGATTTTCTCTCGGACTTGCATTGCCAGGGTTCACAGAAATTAATGCAAAGGAAATAAAACTAGCATATCGTGATGAATATATCTGTCGGTTCTTCATGCACATCAAAAAAACGGGGGCTCGATCCGCCATTGTATTTATTGACTGTGTCAAACTTGAGGACATCAACACTCTTCTACCGAATTATGTCACCGTCTTCAAAATCGGAGAGTCTGATAACTTATACCTTCGAGATTTCCAACGCATCCGTATTGATACAACCGGAAGCTCTCTCAGGAAGAAAGACGAAAAACATGAAAAATGTTTTGTGTATTTTTTCGCATCATCTGAGAAAAACCATCTTGAGTTTAAAATCGAGCAGAATCAAGGTCTGGGTGTATCGCCCTCGACGACTTTAAAGTTCAGTTTGGACAATGGACCATTTAAACGTGTTGTTCATCAACAAGACTTCGAGCCTTGGTCGATAGCCCTTGGGGACAAAACAGATGCAGGACAGAGAAAAATTGAACAAATATCGCGTGGAAATACAATGTTAAACATATATAAATCCAAAAAATAAAAAAAAATATAAAGATTGCTGACAAAGAATTTCATATTTTGGGAACACTTTCTGTGATATTAAGATGCTTTCCATATGGGGACCATCCGATACAAATTTCACAATAACTATACATAATCATTAAATAAGTTCTGCAGTTGGATATGGAATTAATTTCACGAGTGGGTCATATTATATATATATATATATATATATATATATATATATATATATATATATATATATATATATATATATATACATGTATATTTGCACTCGTGAAAATATCAAAAAATCCTGTTTTCCGAGTGAAATAAATTCAATATCCAACTACAAAACATTAAAGTTTCTGTTTATTACATTTTCTTTGATTTCCCCTTTGCCTCTGTCTTTTTGTAACACATTGGCATACGCTGTAACGTCATAGTTGAGTGGCTGAGACGTCATAGCTTAGCGATTGTGAGATTGAATACATTGTAAACACGGATTTCAACAACTTATTTGGAGAAATTTTGGCATTTTTACTTTCTGACAGGATGGATTATTCTCTCTCTCTCTCTCTCTCCTAATGTTCAGGCCAGAGAGCATTTTTTAAAACATTCTTCGTGAAGGAAAGGAAAATCAAGAGTTTTGCCGCATTTCTGATATTCTGTCACACTTATCACTTTGATATCCTTTCAAACTGTGACAGATTATCGCTTTTATACAATTAACCAGAAGTCTCTACTTGTTTGAATTTATAACAAGGGAGAGAAAAGTTGGACTTGAAACTTTGCAACAGATAAATAGAATAATGATCCTTGGTCCTTTTTGTGACAAAATTTATTGCAATCAGATTAAAACTATAGGAGGAGTAGCCTTATAAAAGAATTTTACAGAAATTTCCATTTCAGTAAGCATGACAACATCATTCATCAAAATAAAAAAAAAATAATAATGAAGACAATTATGTAGTCCGTTTGCATGCCAAGTTATATTAAAATCAAACCAAACTGTAGGAAAAGAATTGTTTTGAAAGTACTTCACTGAAATTTCTTCTTTTTTTTTAGTAACCATGGCAATATCGTTCATTGAAATCTAAATTCAATAAACAGAATTATGTACCTTAGCGTTGTCTACTTGTGTGCCAAGTTATATTGAAGTCAGACCAAAACTGTAGGAGGAGTAGCATTTTGAAAAATTGTTTACAGACAGATGGACAGCTAGACAGCCGGACGACAGACACCTTACTATCGCATAAGCTCTTCTGGTCTCTGTCCAGTAGAGCTAAAAATTACAGTTTTTCACTGTTGAAAATGTAATAAATCTTTCTGTAATATTTGTAAATCTGTATCAATTCAGCAGTTCATTGTGTCCCTAGCATTCCTTTCAGTTGTTATTTTCTTTTGTAAAAGCGATTCTTTCGCCTATCATTAAAATGTGTACATTATACATGTATCATTTATGAAAACTGTTTCAATCTATACTATAGTAAAGACTGTATTAACCGTCTTAACCAGCTGATAGTATTTTTTAAAAATAATTTCTTCATTGCATAAAAAAAATTGCAAACTATTTGTGCAAATAAAAAGTCATCACATTTTAAAATTTATTTTTTTTCTTAATAGTCTCTTTGAGGGTAGGATGCAACACAATACATCATTTCTGTTACCTTTAGGTATGCATTTCTTTTTCCTTTTAGAATATAATAAAAAGTACCCCAATAAACGACCCATCTGAAGACCTCGATCCCATGCAGAATGGAAAGCAGATGTTTTCGGGTCTACATGGAACACCTTGTACCTTCAACTTAATTCCAGGTCTTTTCAATGCATATTGGAAGGCAAGGGGGCTCATCACTTGCAAACTAATTAAAATCAGACTTCTTTGATCCGCGCAGTATACAATGCTGACTTGAAACAGGTTGTTGAAATCCCTGTACCATCAACTTATCTGTCAGTAGCCTGCCTCGGTTTAAAAATTGATCGTACTCAGCGCATCCTTTTGAGTATCGAAAAGGTTGAGAGATGAAACACCATTTGCAGGTGATAGCGGAATATTACTACATAAATAAGGAAAGTTGATGATGGAATAGCTGAAGTCATCTCGTTTGTCATAAATAGCAGGTTTTGTTCAGTACAGCTTCTTTGAATTTCTTCTGTTCAATCACTAGATAAAGTGGTTGGAGTATAATTTGATAAGCCGTGCACCCGTGTCATTTCGTTATGTTATATTTGACCCCATATAAGAAGATTCCCCCATATCATCTATTGTTATACACCAATGAAGCATAAAAAGACGGATAACTCTAGATATTGAAATCATTTCATAAGCTATTGAAAAGATTAATTAATAAATAAACAAATTGATTAATAAAAAAAAAATCTCGTACCTTGCCTAACTAGCCACCGAACAAATACTTAATTATTGAAATACAGCCTAATACAGTTAAACTTCGGTATCTCGAGCATCGATATTTAGAAATCCACGGATATGTCGAAGTGATTTGAAAGTCCCATTCATATTTTGTTAAAATATTTTAACTTCAGTATCTCGAATCCTAGGATTTCTAGATCCCATCGAGTTAGAGATAATAAGGTTAGACTTTGCTCAGTCAAACCTTATCGGATAGCACTAACGGACGTCGAATGGATGGCAAAATTTTCATTCCGTTCATCTCCATTCGCATACGTTTCTTGTTTGTTTCTTATTCGATGAATACGGTCAATGTCCGGTGAAGTTTATTTCATCTGGCAGAAAGTTTTGAGCAAGTTCAAAACTTGGAACAGACACCGCCGGACTTAGGTGTTCGCTTTAAGTATGGAATGCCCATTAAAATGTGGTAGGTATCCGTTTGCTTGCGTTTTGAACGGAACTCATATGCTTTATTTCCTGTAATTGTCTGCATGGTATTCTTACGTTGATGTCAGTTGACCCAAGTCACAACTGGACAATTACCGATAATGAAACGGATAAACACAAAGTTCTCCGGACACTGACGGTGTGTCCGCTAATACAACTAGTCTGATGTTCATTGACCTTCTTGTCTATCTCTCATGCGTCTTTCACGGTACTCTGACATTCATACACGTCATTTGTTAAGGGAACGGTGAAATCCGTTAATTGACCGTTGCTTGTACGGTGCATGTCCGTTTTTATTTGTACGGTGAAATCCGTTAGTTGACTGTTGCTTGTACGGTGCATGTCCTTTTTTTTCTGTTTTATACGTTTCATATTTTAATCACAAGAGCCCAAATATGCGGTGGGAGACGATTTCAGCAACATATTACCAACTAAATGCGTTCTGTCCCCCTTTTCAAGAATACTGGACTAAGCCCTTATTAGGGAGAACAACCTTCTGCTCACTATTAAAATGGAATTTGTTGTAATGTTTATCTTACAGAGAATGAACCATAAAATTTATAATACAAAGTAGACAACATTTCAAAGAGGAAGCAACAAAAATATGTAAAGATAGAGTTATCTCTCTTGGCTTGGATATCTATAAGTAAAAGGTGCATCAAAACCTTTTCGAATGTTTTATAACTTTTATTATATCCGCACTTTCTATAGAAAGTTCGGGTATATTTTTGTTATCCTGGTCCGTCAGTCCGTCTGTCACACTTCTTCCTCAAACTACTCAAATTTTAAGCAGTAGGCAACTCATCTTTATGATTGGTGGTGCCTTAAACATGTACAGAAAGATTTTGAAAATTTCATTTTTACCCTGGGGTTTTTCTGCAAAAGTCTAATTTCCTGAACTCCTCTCACATCTTTTGCAGTAGCCCATTCATATTTTGGAATATGATTGAGAGTGTCCTGTAGATGTGCAATAAGGCTTCAGAATTTCACTTTTCACCCTAGGGTCAAAAATGACGTTTTTAATACAAAAACCTGGTTCCTTAAGTCCTCTTACATTTTTTGCAGTAACCAACTCACCTTTTTTAATATAATTGGGAGTGTCCTGTAAATGTGCGATAAGGTTTCGGAATTTTCATTTTCACCTTAGAGGCCAAGTGGGAATCAAAAAACAACAAAAAACAATCAAAAAAACTCAAAAATACCCCACTATACATGATAGTATAGTGGGGTATTTTTGTATGGAACGATTATTTTGGGGTTTTCACGATTTTTTGCTATGGTACACATGATGAATAAGTGTAATAAATATAATTTGTGAAAAAAAAAAAATGTCCAACAAGCCCGGGGTTGAATTTCGGGGGAGGGGGGGGGGCGGGGTCCTGTTCACAAGTACCTGTGCTTTTTCACGGTAGTAGATGTTGCATTCAAGTATATGCATGTTCAGGACATTGGATACTCAAAAAATTGTGTTATAGAATTTTGTAAAACATTGTGTGAAGACTTCATTACTGCTAAAACACATATTTATCACAAAAATTTCTCATCAAACCAGCCTTATTTTTTTTTAATTTACATTCTTTCCAATTCTATGCTTAAAAATCTATACTGAAAATTCAATCCAAAAAATGAAAAAAATAAAATCCCGCAAAAGATAAACTTTCTCAAATTTTACCGTGTAAGAAAACAATTAAAACCGAGCAAGAAGATATGGCAAAAGCCCTACCGTTTCCAAAATTTAGGTATCCAATGATCTTTAAAAGAATAAGACAGTAAGTAAAACCATCTATAAGCAGTGGCAGTGAGCAGTTGGCTGTGGCAGAATAAGCAGATGGCTGTCATAAATGGAATTTCATTATAAAGGTTAACGCAGGTCTTATTTTAATAACATGTATCAATGACGAAATTAATGATAATCAGCCATTCTCCAGAAATGGTTCCAAATATGTAAAAATGGTGTCGCTTGCATTTAATACAAAATTATTTTTTCCTACTTAATGTAAATTACTGAAACTTTACTCAAAATATGTCTACAACAAAATTACAAAAATTAGGTACCAATTATTATGCGTTTGAAGTGTTAGATTATGTCCAAATATTCCTATGAAAAATAGTTTTGTTCGTTTCTCAGCATGTCGTAAGTGCATATTTCAATTTTAATACTCTACTGAGTGGCATATACT